TCCCCTCCCTCCCCATCCAGTGGTTCCCCCCACCCCAGCCAATATCACCTGAGTCTTCTCCAGATTGAGTTTCAGCCCCTTAGCTTTTACCCGTGCCACGTTCTCATCCAACAATAGTGACCTAACTCTTAGTTAAAAATTGCATGTCACTGCACCAGCACCAGCCACTGCACCCAATCCCTGTTTGGTTTACTATAACTTTTATTGCTTCCTGCATGAATACCTGTCCTCAGGGAAAAGTATGAATTCATGTGAATACAAATTCCCCCAAACATGTCTGTGAACAAAACCTAGCCTGACCGATTATTCATGAAAAAGAGAGTTGGAAATGCCATCAAATTTAATTCCCTTGTTTTAGTCATACTGAATGATTGAGGGTTCTTTCTTTCTCTCTCTCTCTCTCTCTCTCTCATTACTTGTGGAGTGCAACCAATGCTCATTAGTGCATTATTAATGCTTATGTCCTGGATTGATATGTTAGAGGGTTAGAAGGGATCTATCAAATTATCTTACATTGCAAACTCTTTGGGGCAGGAACCATCTTTTTGCTCTGTGTTTGTACAGAACCTAGCATCATGGGGCTCTAGCCTGTGACTGGGGTTGCTAGGTGCTACTGCAATACAAATAATAAATAACAGTAATAATCTAGTTCAGCTCCCTTGATGAAGCAGAAAGGACCATATCATATCATGTAACTATTCGTTTAGCTTTAACTTTTAACACCCACATGTGCTATGTACTTTATTTACCTACAGGTTTGGTGTCTGGGCAATGAAAGCAGATACCACATAAACAAGACAGTAGATGGTTCCACCTTTTCTGTAGTCATCCCCTCCTTAATTCCTGGTATTCGATACAGTGTGGAAGTAGCAGCAAGTACTGGGGCAGGACCTGGAGTGAAAAGTGAGCCACAGTTTATCCAATTAGGTAAGCCTTCTGGTAAATCTGCCTATAAATTCAGTGCTGTGTTTATTTTGCCTTTTATGGATCCAGAAATATTTACAAGTCAGGCAGAATGCAGAGTGTTTCTTGTATTTTAAAATAATGAGATTAGTATTTGTGCTTTTGGACATGTATTGGAACTGGATTCTAAAGACAGTGTTGTAACAGCATCTCTCAAAGGTTTGCTGTATAATGGCTTCTGCCTTTTATTTTAAACAAAAAAATCACAATTTGTTATTGGTTTTGACTGTTGATTTTTGCAAAGTGGTTGATACTTAAGATTGGCATAGGAAAAACACAGCAGTTTAAGATGGGCCTGAGGCACCACGTTTGCTACATTCATATTCTAGCCTGCCAGTATCAGGGCAGGGGATGCAACAGTGACCTCATCTGCACCAAGCATTCCTCTGACCCAGTTGAAGACTGAGGGCCATAGGATATGGATATGTCTGGAAGTGATGTGGGATTACTGCTGGTTTACAGAACAATATTTAAAATGCCTTGCAATATAGTGATGCTGCTCTTTGTTAGCATGATGAAATCAAAACATGCTGTCATTAGGGTCAGTACTCTGACCCATCAGACCAAAATAGAACTTCACCATATTTCTTTTGGCCTTCTACCCTTCTCTGTCCCCATCATTAAAAGATCTGTCCAGTTATGTGATTTTACGTTAAAAATAGGTAGTTACTGAGGATGAAAAAGGACCCTATTCTGAGTGAACAGTTGCTGCAATGCCAAAAAATTACATATGGACATTGAAATTAAGGGAACTTTCAAAGAATTGCTTATAATTTGGGCTTGTGATGCCCATTGATTGTAATAGAAATTGCATAGCAGAACTTTTAAAAATGATTCATTAATGTAGTACCTATAAGTGCTCATTGGCATGTTGTTTTCTGTGCCCATTTTCCATTCTCAAGAATCAGGGTTTCTGTTTCACTGCTGATATTTTGAAAACCTTGAAACTTTAAGCGTTATAGACACCAGCTTAATGAAGAGGCCTTGATGTCTGAAACTGCAGGCTGACATTTTTCCTTAATCCATCTGCTAGTAAATTAATCCTAAATAAACACCAGTTTTACAAGAACATGATTTATTTAGCTTCCCTTCTTTGCCTTTCCAGTTAGCTTATTTGGAAAAGGAACATAGTCGACAATTTGCCTTACCAGGACTGAGCAGGGCCACTAGCCTGCTTCAGCAATGGCATGTATGGACACTTCACTAGACGGCGAAGGGCAGTTAGATGCCTATGTCCTATTGAAAGTCAATAGGAGTCAGGTACCCAGTCTTTGACAATCCTCTCCTAAGGCTATTGATTAGTGCTGCACAAAATAAATGGAACTCAGGCTCCTAAGTGCCTAAATCATGAAAATGGGACTTAAGCTTCTAAATCACTTAGGTATTTTTGAAAATTTTGCCCAAAGTCTCTTTCCTCCAGGTCATATTTTCTGATTCATCTGAGACCTACAGTAAACAAAGGTTATCGTTTGCTGTTTAGCGGCCTCAGTATTTGGTGACCTTAGTCCAATCCCTAGTGGACAGATGGTAACATTACAGTTAACATCCTTAATGACATTCTCAGCGGAAGCCAGGGATTTGATAGAAAGAAATAATTACACTGTATGAGAGTTCTAAAAACCCTACCATCTCACCCCCTAGGGCTAAAATGTACATTGGAGGCTCAGCCTTATGCACATAGGGTGTGGTAGTACATCATCCCAGTGGGAGGTCTCAGAAACATGGTGCCTGATGTAAGCACATTGCCTTTAGGGACACTGAAGAAGTATTGACCAGAGAATCCCTTGCTGTGACCTTTAACAATGCACACCAGGCGCCCATCTCTTGACAAACTTTGCTGACTGGTGATGAAGGAAGTGGCGCAAAGCCTCTTTCTCATTTGCCTCCTTTTGAGGAGGTTAGCACTCTTATGAAAACAGGCCTCAAGCAAACTTTGTGCTCCCTAAGGATTTTTCCAGTACCTGAGGAGATGTACCTTCTTCAGCTCCCTCTCCCCTTTTTGTACCCATAAAGGATCAGATATAATCTGTGGTGAGATCCTCAGCCCCACTACTGCCACTTTACACCAGGTCAAAGGACCAGAACAATGTAAAGGGCCTTAACAGCCTTGTAACTAGCTGTTGGAAGGATTCCCTTGGCACAGATGCAGTGTAAGATAGCTGTATGGCTACCTTCTGAGGACTCCTTTGCATGCCCTGGGAGCAGAAAGCATGTGTGGGGACCACGCTGTGGAGATTCTGAGCAGTATGGTGGCTCATAGGGCATCCTGGAGTGGCTGCCATAACTCAAACAGGCCCCTAGGGCTACCTAAGTTACCCCAAGGAGACTCTTCAGCCAGAGTAGCCTAGGAATGTGAGAGTGGTAAAGTGGCTTAAAACTTCCTTACCAATACCCTGAGTTCTGTGCTTGTGCCTCTTAGAGGCTCACCACAGAAGCTCATCCTTGGTTCTTGGATGTGCTCCCAGAAAAGGAGTGAAGCAGTGAGGGATAGATGGCACCATTGTTTTCCAGAAGCTGTTCTGTGGATACAAAACTTAATTTGCTGATGCCATCAGTCTAGCACCTTTCAAAACCAATGCATTCATTTAGATGGAGAGAGCTTTTATTTTTGGATTTTGGGGAGGGGAGCTGCATGTGGTGATGGGTAAGGATGCTGTTCATAAAATGTTTGGGGGGAATTGCTAGTTCCAGTATCTATATGCTAGATGAACTGCATTCCTGCAATCACCAATTTGAGAAATCTATATTTCCTTCTTAGAGTCAGGAAGCTTAAATCTTTTGCTTTGATGTTGATTTCTGAATTAGTATGCTGCTACCTTTATTAAACTGATTACAAATTCCCTGTGTGCGTATTATATATACTGTATGATTTCTATATTCATTTACATTTGGAATGTCTCTCACAATTAAATCAGATTTAGATCTTACTCTGAACAATTCTTGATTAAAAATTGAGGGCTAGATTGTGACTAACCCTAAAACTTCCCCCTTAGGACTTAGTTTGAGTAAGTTCCCACACACTACACCCCTCCCTTGCACAGATAGGGCTTCTCTGAATGCTCTCGTGCCAAAAATGAGTATATGGACCTTTGGCTGGGCATGGGGGTAAAAGTAAGTTGCACCCATGCAAGGGCTACAGAACGTTACCCCAGAGAACTATTGATCCCTTTGATACTGATCTCCACCGTAGCGTCTGTGCAATGATGGAGTACCATGGATGGCAGCTTTGAAATGTTGACACTCCATTGGTTTGCTGATGGTTCAATAGCGAATTACCTGGTACATCCTGCAGCACGTTCTGTCCAGAGTATTATTCACATGAGGCATCTCAGATCCAGTTAATATTACTCATAATAAACATATTAACCTGAGTGAATACATTTTATGCACTTATTTCTTAAGAGGTTTCTGTAAAATAATTACAAATGTTAAGTGCTTTTTTCAACCAGTGGATGTCTCAAGGGTACAAAATATAAGAAACTCTTATTGCACCTTTATTACTCTAATCACTCACATTAAGAGATGTGATTTGTGAACTAATTAGGATGCCTTTAGGGATATAATTCTGTCAGCCACTGCAAGTAACCTGCCCAACATAATACAGTGTCTTTTTCAGGCCTGCTTTGAAAGTAGCCTTTCAAAGGTGGCCTGCTTTGCCCACCCAAAGCCCTATTGATGTCAGTGAGGCTCCACATGGGCAATGCACTCCACTTACATGCAGTACACTATACAGTTGTAGCCTAAAGGTGGCAGTTCTCCATTTATGACATTGGATATAACTAGAAAGAAGGCAAAAGAGACTATTCATACGTTGATTTCTGACCAAAGAATTGTCTTTCCGTATTATATATACCCACATTGGGCGGGGCGGGGCGGGGCGGGGCGGGGGGGAGCGGAGTTATTGCAAATTCAAGCACTCAGAAGTTAGGAAATACCAGATTTATGGTTGCCCGTGCAACCTTAATTCTCACTTCCCTTTGACCAGCTATCTGGTGCACTGAATGAGGCAGGAGTCCTGTGGAATAGTATCTCATTGTACCGTTAAAGACTGTATCTTAATGCATACACATGGAGGCATTTGCACGGGTCACTGTGATTCTGGAATTTCGCAACCTAAATAACTTTTTTTTAAGATAGTATTTTTGTATGTAATTTTCTAGTCTATTTTGATAGACTAGAAACCAATTGTTATGTACAATTGTAACAACCTCGTATCTTATATTGTCAGCGTTTAAACCCTGAACCTTCCACACAGCACCACCGACTGCTAGTACTTGAGCTACAGACCTAACTACATTAACTCTCAGCGTGGAAAGTCTGTTATCTTGGGGCCAGGAAATATGCCAGTTCCAGGGAGTGATGTAGTCAGCCTTCTCCAGCAGCTCCTAGGTATTCTCAGTGCAATGTGTGCTTCTGCAGCTTTGTCAGCATTGTGAGCCTGGCCTTAGAATGTTCACAATTCCTTATTGTTTTATCATGGTGCCAACATTTACCTGGAGGAACCAGAAACAACAGCAGTGATATGGTGATTTTCAACAGTTTAAGTCTCGGCTAAACCTGAATGGATTTTCATGGCACAAAGAAAAGGCATTTTTATAGCCCAAGGGCTTTCTCCCTTTTTCCCTAATTTCAAAGGCCTGACACAAACAACCAAGTGATAGAACAAAAAAAGGCGGCAAGAATCTTTAATAATGGAAAGTGTTAGCAACATATACACATGGGTCACTACCAGCTTCCCTTAAATTTAGTGGTTAGCTTAGCTCCTATTATTAAATTATTATTATTAAATTCTATTAAATATGCCTATATATGTATACATAGGCATGTACGTGTGTGTGTACAGATATATAATATGTATGTCAGTCAGTTTCATGTCTGAAGCTAAACAGTAAGAAAGAGAGAGAAAGTGTCTGTGTGTATGTGTAAAATATATATATGAAAAATGAGGCTTTGTGCAGGTATAGCAGTCCACACATGCATAGTGTATTTCAGCCTTGGTGCTTTAAATACAACAATTTATTATAATGGTATACAGGTATTTCCAGTGGCTAAAAGAATAATATCACTGAAGGCATGCGAATTAGTTCTCAAATCACATATCATAATGTGAGTGATTAGAAAAATAAAGGTTCATGGAGTATTTTGTACATGAGACATGCACTGTGTGAATAATGCACTTAACATTTGTAGATATATAAAAAAACTACCACTATATTTGTTTGAGTTACAGAATCATTTACATTGCTGGCTCCTTATGCACAGCTTAGGGCTTCATACATTTTATTGATTCTGTGTTGTAGCACTCTTTTGGGGGGAGGGGGAAAGGGTGGAATAAGGTAACTTTTTCCTTATTGTAAATACTTCATTAGAAGTATGAAAGAGAAATATTTAACAATAAAGAAATGTTAACATACGCAGAACAATAGGTGAACAGTGTCTCCAATGAAAATTCAGTTTTCTGTCAAAGAAAACAATTTCAAATAATAACAGCATTTTAAAAAAAGCACATTTAGTTGTTTTGAAATTAGAATGATATTGCAGTTTCCAATATCTTAATACAGCCTCAGTTGCTGTGAGACAAAAGATGAGATATAGAATGGCAATTTTAATTCATTAGTCACAGTACACTTTATACAGTGAAGCCCATCTGGCCACTTGCATGGAATCTCACTTGGCTGTCTCCATAAAATCTGAAGCAACCCAATTTAACCTTGCACAAATAGCCATGAAATCTATAAACCTAGCAGACACAAAGGGTGTATTAGAAAGAAAAGAATAGGTCTGCTTGGTGAACTTTCAGACTATGAGTGCTCTTAGGATCACAGAAGATAAAAGGGCTTGTTACGTGAAATAAAACTTCCAGTCAACAAACAGTCAAAGGCAGTGATTGCTTGTGAAAAAAGGTATTCAGCCTGGATGCCACATAGAATGAAATCTGAAATTCTGTGGAAGAAAAAGCCAAGGAAAAAAACTATTAATAATTTAACCATTTCCCATCTATAAAGGTGTCCCTTTCCCAGAGCAATTGTTTTTTTACAATATGGCTTGTTTTCCCTGTAGTCTATATATTCTTTCATATATATTTATACTTTTTGTGTGTGGGGGGGGTAGAAACGTGTGGTGTCATGATTAAGAGTATTAACATGTTCACTGGTTAGTGCAGGGGTCGGCAACGTTTGGCACGCAGCTCGCCAGGGTAAGCACCCTGGCGAGCCGGGCCAGTTTATTTACCTGCTGACGTGGCAGGTTCGGCCGATCACAGCCCCCAGTGGCCGCGGTTCGCCGTCCCAGGCCAATGGGGGTGGTGGGAAGCCGCGGCCAGCACATCGCTCGCCCGCACCGCTTCTTGCCATCCCCATTGGCCCGGGACAGCGAACCGTGGCGAGTGGGGGCCGCGATCAGCCGAACCTGCCGCGTCAGCAGGTAAATAAACTGGCCCGGCCTGCCAGGGTGCTTACCCTGGCGAGCCGCGTGCCAAACGTTGCCGACCCCTGGGTTAGTGCTTAGAGAGTATTAATGCTGTTGTGTTTTAAGTGAACTGGTTTCCATTTCTTAGCCAGTATGCATTAACAGAATTTGATCAGGCCACCTGAGCAAACAACATATTTCTCTCCTAAAAGGACCAATCTCAGGACCAGACTCTACTATCTTACTCACATTGAGTAGTACCTAACTCTTTGACTATTTACTCTGAAATCCACAGGACTGATCAAAGAGTTAGGTATTACACAGTATGAGTGATGTAAGGTATTATTCATTGTGAATGAGGGTTTCAGAATCTTGCCCTCAATTCGGGGAGCAATAATACAGATCTCTCACCTCACAAATTTGCAAAGAGCACCTCTTACTGTTAAAAATCAATGTACCCGGATGATAAAAACTAGCAAAATGTCTTCTCTTTGAGCAACCTCAATGCAATTATAGGATATTGGTGGGTAGAATAGTCTGAAATAGTGTTACTAGAAAGTATTTACAGACATACTATATGGAAAGAAAAATGAAGTTTTAGGGTAAAATAATAATTACCCTGTATATTAAAAAATAAAACTCTTATACATTTAACAATTAATTAAAACATTTTCAGCTGTCCTTTGTTTCCATTCTGATTTCTAAATTGGAGTAGTTGATGGGGGGGGGGGTGTCTCTGCTTTTTCCACTACTAGGAAGGCCTATTTGATTATTTTTATTGCATTGTACCTTTTCTTGGGATAGTTATTCTCCCTTTCCTACAGTTCTTCTTGCTTTCTCATAGCTATAATTTTAAAGACTAGCTTGTCTAGCCATGTTAAGTTGGTAGAATCAAGTTACTTTATTCACTCACTTCTTTAGCTAGTCTTGAATTTTCAGTCTTCTTGAATTGAGGTCAAAATAAGACTGAGAAAAAACAGATTGTGTAACATGAGATACAAGTCGCCTGTCAGAAACTGCTGAATTTAAAAAACATCTCTTCAGTATCCACCTTCTATAAATGTGTTTTGAATTTGTAATGCTTCTATGATTTTCACTTCTGGGGAAGTATGTGTGTGTTCCTGTAGCTTGTTTCTAAGCTTTAGTAGAATTCTGGGAACAGACTTCTCCAACACATTCCTTCATAGTTTTTTTTGTGAAAGTTTTGTTGGCTTTTATTTTTAAATTTAATCTGAAATAATTTAATTTATGTTATATTGCCGAAATGATGAAAAATTATAGGCCAAAAATTTTAAACCATGGACTTAAAGTCAGCCTTTAAATCTATATTTAATCACCTAAATAAAAGGGGCCTAATTTTCAGAAGAGCTAAGCACCCACTATCCTGCTGAAGTCAATGGGAGTTGGGGCAGGGAGCATCTTTTTCTTCTGTGTTTGTAAAGCACCTAACACAATGGACTCCTGGTCCATGCCTAAGTCTGCTAGGTGCTACAATAGTACAAATAATAAGTAATAATAATAGTAGTTTAGTACCTCTAAAAATCAGGCCAATTTTATTTGGGTGCCTAAATATGGATTTAAAAGGCCAACTTTGGGTGCCCAGGTTTGAAAATCTGGGCCATAGTATTTTTAAATCACGGTCTACAATTATTATTACTTAGTAATAATAATAGTACATTTGGTTTTTACAACTGCACATCTAAATTAATCAGAGATTTTTGGTTCCTTTTTTAGATTCCCATGGAAACCCTGTGTCACCAGAAGACCAAGTCAGCTTAGCTCAGCAGATTTCAGATGTTGTAAAGCAGCCAGCTTTCATTGCTGGCATTGGTGCAGCCTGTTGGATTATTCTTATGGTCTTCAGCATCTGGTTATACCGCCACCGAAAGAAGCGAAATGGACTAACTAGTACTTACGCTGGTATCAGAAAAGGTGCCGTATTACAACTCTTGATTTGTTAATTGCTTTACTGTCCTTTATAGCTTTTTAATTGGAAAGATCTTGCTCATCTCAGGCCCATTGAATACTTGGGGTCTGTCCATTGAATAATCAGGTGGACTTTTCATCAGATATCCCAATAGAGAACACATGAAAATTTTGATAGTGTAGTACTTGTGACTTTTTATTAAGACCCTTAATAAAAATACCCAGGCTTGCTTTTCATTTTAAATATATATAGGTGAATTTAATGCTGACAGCTGTCCATATGTTTACAGAATAAGATAGCAGCAAGGCAAGTTTCCTCTTGCTGCCCTGCCACTGTGCCACATGGCTGACCTGAAAAAAGATTAAACTGGGTGGTAGTTCAGTATTCTTCTTCAAGTGCTTGCTCATATCAATTCCATTCTAGGTGTGCGCATACCCACATGCACGGCCATCGGAGATAGCCTTAGAGATATCCGTAGGGTTGTCTGAGGCACCTTCTTGAGTGCCATGCCTATGTGTCGGTATATTAGGTGTCGCCGGCCCTATGCCCTCTCAGTTCCTTCTTACCACCTGTGGTGATTAGTTATAGAACCTTTCCCTTGTCTCACAAAGGCTAACGGTTCTTCTGTTTCACCCTTTGAGCCTTAAGGCTTTGTAAATAGTTTGTTTACAGTAGTTAGTTAATATGTAGTTGTTAAGTAATGTAGTTAAAGATAGATTCCCAACTTCGCCCCAGGCGGGGCATGCCACTGTCTCTGGGTTTTAAGCCTTGTTCTGACAGTAACAGGCCTATGCCTGTTAGTGAGCCCCTTAGCAGCTGTGAAGGAGAAGTGTCGCATCTGTAATAAATTTCATCCGAGAACACAGAAAGAGTGAGACATCAGTTTGAGGGCCCTCCTGCTGTCCACCCGATATCCACACCTTCCCGCCAGACTCTGTCCCGAGCACCTTGGTCTCGGTGCACACCCTCACCACTGGGCTCCACCCAGCACCTCTCCCGGTCACCGGTGCCAAAGGAGAGGTCAAAGAAGAGTGCCTCCCCAGCACCTAGCAGGAAGGGCTAAGAACCCAGTTTGGGCCGACAGCCAACACGGAGCCACATGGGGACACCCCCTTGATGGGGCCTCCTTGTTCCCTGAGGGATCCGCCACCAACACCAGGAAGTGGTAGGGCACCCAGACTGGTGGCAGTGCTGACGCCTACCCAGGCTTTCCTGGCACATAGAGCAAAGGCCTCTACCAGCACCGCCGGCATCGAGTGTGTCACAGGTCATGACAGAGGCTCCCGTTGAGGGCAAGCCAGCCGTAAAGACCCCCCAAAGGGCAGGCAAAAGACGCTGGTCTCTATAGACGAGACAGCGCTTTCTGTCTCCACGCCCCAGGTCTCTGTCTTCTGCGGGACATCCTACATCGCGAGCACCAGGCTCCTGGTCTCCACTCTCTTGACATGGGCCACCTAGAGGAAGGCACCAGTCACCGCATCACCGGCACCGATCATCCTCCCACCAGCCGACTCCTCAGTGCAGATCCCCGCAGTGGGAGCGGTCTCGATCATGGTACCGATCGCTCTGGCCCCAGCACCGGTCCTCCTACTTGAGGCACCAGTCTCATGCAGCAACGGTTAGCCGCGAGACGCAAGCTTTGACAGCCCCTCCGTGGCCACCGGAAGGTGTTTCCTCTGGTTCAGAAAGGGAATTCAGCCCTTCACCACAACAGCACTGGTGCGAGTGGGCACCTGAGGCTGCTTGACCTCCGTGATGCCATCCTGGCAGTAAGGCCAGTGGCCGGCACAATGGCCCTATTGGAGCTCATGGGGCATGCCTGTGATGCCAATTCCTCAGTCAGTCCATTCCTTGGCCACCACCTCAGAGCAGCAACCAATAGCACTGGCAGCACCGAGCCCGGTGCGGGTGGCACACTTGGAAGCCGGGGTAGAGAAGCAGGTGCCCACCCTGAAACCCTCTTTTCCCATGAGGAATGAACCCTCAGGGGCTCCCCCGGTGACCCAGTCATCGTCCTCAGATGAGGGGGTGGCGGGCCCCTCCCGCACCAGCCCACCAGATGATTTCAAAGAAAATCAGGCCCTGCTTCGTATGGTGACTACGAACTTGGTTTTGGAAGTGGAGGAGATGGCCAAAAAAGCGGACACCCTGTTCAATGTGCCCTTGGCCTCTACCCCCACCTGTGTTGTGCTACCAGTACACAATGGGGTCCTAAAAATAGCAAAAGCCCTTTGGCAAACTTTTCCCATCCCTCCCACCTCCAAGAGGACCGAGAAAAAGTATTTTGTCCCAGCCAAAGGGTATGAATATTTGAATACTCACCCTCCTTTGGGCTCGCTGGTCATCTCAGTGGCCAACAAGAAGGACAGATGGGCAAACCAGTTCAACCCACAAGAATAAAGAGGCCAAGAGGCTGGACTTTTTTGGGAGAAAGATTTATTCAACGGCCAGCCTTCAGTTCCAGGTGGCCAACCACCAGGCTCTCTTGGGGAGGTACCACTTCAACTTATGGGACTCCCTCCGTAAGTTCAAGGACTCACTGCCCCAGGACTTGGCCCAGAAATTCGGGGCCACGGTGCAGGAGGGTATGATGGCTGCAAGGTGCTCCCTCCAGATGGCGTGGGATGCGGCTGATTCGGCAGCTAGGGTGCTCTCATCAGTGGTGGTCATGAAGTGCAGCTCCTGGCTTTAGACAGCTGGCCTGTCCTAGGAGATGCAGGCCTCAATCCAGGATCTTCCCTTAGAAGGGAATGATCTCTTCATAGGACAAAGTGACACGAGGATGTACAGACTGACACTTGGGCCACCCTTCGCTTGCTGGGTCTGCAGACCCTGCAGTCAGGGAGGAAGCAGTTCTGGCCACCCCCGCCGCTGAGGCCTTCACAGCCTCAACAGGGGCAAGCAAGGAGAAGGGATAGAGACATGAGATTTTGTCATCACTGCCCTTCCTCCTCCCACTCCCCTGCGCAGCCCGGCCTGTTGAAGCCTCACGAGGGCCAGAAGTACTCATTTTGAGGATGCACTCGAGAGTGATGCCCCAGTCAACTCCCCCGATCCACCTCGTTCTTTCCTCAACCATCTTTGTCCCTACTGTGCTGCCCGGTTGCGGGTCACCTCGGACCACTGGGTGCTAGAGATTGTATCTTGGGACTACACTCTGCCCTCGAGCTGAAGGATGCCTATTTCCATATCTCCATCTTCCATGGTCACAGATGATTCCTCCATTTTGTGATGGGTGGGAGCCATTTCCAGTTCACAGCACTGCCGTTTGACCTCTCATCTGCCCTGAGGGTGTTTACAAAAGGTATCCCACCAGTCGCTGCTTACCTCGGGCGTCGAGTGGTTCAGGTCTACCCATATCACGCGATTGGCTCATCAAGGGCAGATCTTGGGAGTAGGTGCAAAGGAGCCCGAATCTGGTTCATTCCACCTGCCGTGACCTGGGCCTGTTGGTAAATGAAAAGAAATCATCTGAAGGCCGGTGCAATTAATAGAGTTCATTGGGGTGGTTCTCGACTCCACACAAGCCAGAGCCTTCCTTCCAGAGGTGCGTTTCCAGGCCATATCAGACCTGATCTCCCATGAGAAAAACTAGCCGCTCAGCACTGCTCATACCTGCCTGTAGGGCCTGTTGGGCCACATGGCCGCATGTACGTACATCATCCAGCATGCCCAGCTCCATCTCCGGCCAGTGCAAGTGCGGTTGGTGTTGGTCTACATCCCCAACAGACACAATCTAGACTGGGTGGTCAGGGTGCCAGTTCACATCCGATCGTCCCTGGATTGGTGGTTGAGCCCCGAATCAGTGTTGGAGGAAGTTCCCTTCATGGCCACAGCCCCATGGCTGATCCTGGTTTCCAATGCCTCAGACCTGGGCTAGGGAACTCACCTGGGCGAGCTCAGCACTCAAGTCCACTGTTTGCGGGATGATCTGTCCCTCCACATAAACTTCAAGGAGCTCAAAGCGGTTTGCCTGGCCTGCCAGGTTTTCGTGCTTCATGTGAAGGGCAAGGTGGTGCAAGTCCTGACAGATAATACCACAGCAATGTATTACATTAACAGGCAGGGAGGAGCCAGGTTGTCGGCCCTTTGACACGAAGCTCTTCACCTGTGGGGCTTCTGTGTGTGGCATGCCGTCCATCTGGTGGCCACACATCTGCCTGGAGCCATGAACATGGTAGCAGATCGCCTCTGCAGGACCTTCTCGTCTCGCCACGAGTGGTCGTTCCACCTGGAGGCGGTCAGTGTGATCTTTCAGAGGTGGGGGAATCCCCAGGTGGATCTGTTCGCGTCCCATCCGAACTGGAAATGCCACGAGTTCTGCTCGTTCCAGGGATTGGACAGTGCATCCCCATCAGATGCCTTTCTGCTTCCATGGTGGGGGGCTCTGATGTACGCCTTCCCACCAGTGCCGCTAATCCACAAGGTCCTTCTGAAGATCAAACAGGACAAGGCGAAGGTGATACCAATAGCTCCTGCGTGACCTTAGCAGCACTGGTTTGGCACGCTTATGGACCTTTCAGTAGCCTCTGCCTCTCTGGCCAGACCTGCTGTCCCAGAACCCCGGGAGTCTTCTGCATGCGAATCTGGCGGCTCTGCAGTTGACAGCGTGGCTTCTGCGTGGCTAATTGCGGATGAACAGGAATGTTAGGCCTGGGACCAACAGGTCTTGTTGGGTAATAGAAAGCTCTCTACCAGAGCAACCTGGCCAAGTGGAAGAGGTTCATATGCTGGACCTTGGACCGGGATATCCGGGCTGAGCAGGCCTCACTGCAAGCGATCCAGGACTGTCTTCTACACCTCAAACTCCAGGGGTTGTCCCAGTCATCAATCAAAGTCCACTTGGTTGCTGTTTCAGCCATCCACCCTCCATTCCAGGGCAGGTCGGTCTCTGCTCACGACATGACGGTCCAGTTTTTGAAAGGTCTGGAGCATCTCTATCCACACATCAGGGATCCCGTCCCTCCCTGGGACCTGAATCTCATACTGTCACGGCTCATGGATA